GTTTCTGTACCCAATATTTAAAAAAAATTACAAATGCTGTGAAAATACAGGTATCAGTATCTGTATCGGCAAGTACCAAAAATGAAAGTATCGGTATCGGACTCATTCTGAAAAAAGTGGTATCGGTGCATCCCATTTTGCAGTATTAAACACGTATTTATACCGATTTCATCAGGCTCAGAAAGTTCTTCAAAAAGAACACAAAAATGGCCTTCTCAGCTGCCATAAGTTGCAACTCTTGCGTCATCAGAACAGCGTGTTCAATGCACCACTGTTTCCGTTTAAAAAAAAATTTTCACCGTTTTGTCGAGGCTGAACGCAGCCCTGACGCTGTCAACAAATATACCAAGTCTAATAGATAAACTAAGTTGGCTGAAAGAGCAATACTAGCAATTAGCACAAAACTATATAGGCCTAGCTATGTAATTGCTAAATAAGTTAATTGCCGATTAGGCCATGTATTAGAAAAGTTTGAATCAGTAGAATATCCAGTGTTATGAAAACTACATAGAATAAATGCCTATAGTGCATTTATGACAACCTTTTACGGTACCATGTTTATGGGCTAGATAAATTTCACCTCAATAAATGTTAGCCTGGAATGAATGCATATGCCTGGCATGAATGCAAATTCCCATGATAAACTTCTGGGATTTTGGAGCACCAACTTGTAAAAGTGCTTAACAGTAACTACAATGCGTTCTTTAAAGGTGGGGTAAGCGATTTTTCAAAAACGCTTTAGAAAACTGATTCGGGCCGAACAGCTAAACAAACTTGTAGCCAATCAGCAGTAAGGGGCGTGTCTACTCATGATGTGGAGGAGAGAGCGTTCAGTCCGAGCCGAGCGACAGAAAGATAGAGATGGCGGATGAAAGACAAAAGAGGAAAACGTCTGCGGAATAAAAGAAGGCTTATGGCAAGAAGTAGGACCCGTGTAAATATCGGATCAGCTTTCCAGCGCTGGAGAGAACTCAAGGAGCGGAAGGCCTGCGATCGGACGCCGAGGTTGCTTTGTTTCTTCTCGATAGGTGAGTAACACCGTGTCTGCGCCGCAACAGCTAAAGTCTGTCTAGTACACTGGAAGCGACAAAGCGACCGTTGAAAATCATTTGAAATTTGTGTCAATACTTCATGAATAGAACGCAGCAGCAGTTTTCTGTCGGGGATTTGTCGTGTCGTGCCGCACCGCATCCAGTGTAGACCGTATATATATAGACCGATGTATATATTTCTATGGTGTAGACAGCATCACTGTTTATAATGAGTTCCATAGTATTTTGTCGCACCACGCCACTCACGTCCGGTGTAGACACAGTGTAACATTGGTTTTGCTTTGTTTCACAGAACTAATCAGGCCTGGGATGCGTACGTATGCGTGGGGCGGAGCTATCAAAATAGGGGCGAGACCCTTTTGGGGTAGGGGCGTGTTTGTTTTGGTGATTTCAAATGTCAACATTGGCTACCAGAAATCGCTTACCCCGCCTTTAATTGATTCGCTTAGTCTTAGTCTTATTCTGCCCTCTAGTGGCTAATATTGAAATTAATACAAACCTTAACATAATGAGACTTATGTCGAAATAACGACTTAATATCTCGAAATAACGGGTTATTATGTCGAAATAACGACTTAATATCTCGAAATAACGAGTTATTATGTCGAAATAACGAGTTTTATGTTGAAATAACAAGATAAGTTTTCCTTTTTTTCTTTTTTCACCATGCGGTTCAGGGCTTCCATACAGGAGCACTGTCACATCATGAACAGAATCAAAGTAGGTATGGCTTAAGTACTTTGCAACTGCTAAAAAAAAGTATGTTCTATTTATGTGTGTAGTACAGTGGGTACGGAAAGTATTCAGACCCCCTTAAATTTTTCACTCTTTGTTATATTGCAGCCATTTGCTAAAATCATTTAAGTTAATTTTTTTTCCTTATTAATGTACACACAGCACCCCATATTGACAGAAAAACACAGAATCGTTGACATTTTTGCAGATTTATTAAAAAAGAAAAACTGAAATATCACATGGTCCTAAGTATTCAGACCCTTTGCTCAGTATTTAGTAGAAGCACCCTTTTGATCTAATACAGCCATGAGTCTTTTTGGGAAAGATGCAACAAGTTTTTGCAATATAACAAAGAGTGAAAAATTGAAGGGGGTCTGAATACTTTCCGTACCCACTGTATGTATGTAATTCCAATGTTATATATTGAAAGTGAAAGTGAAGTAAAATGTGGCTAAATATGGTTACCCATACTCGGAATTAGTGCTCTGCATTTAATCCATCCTAAGTGCACACACACACAGCAGTGAACACACACACACCGTGAACACACACCCGGAGCAGTGGGCAGCCATTTATGCTGCGGCGCCTGGGGAGCAGTTGGGGGTTCGGTGCCTTGATCAAGGGTGCCTCAGTCGTGGTATTGAAGGTGGAAGAGAGCGCTGTACATTCACTCCCCCCACCTACAATCCCTGCCGGTACGAGACTCAAACTCGCAACCCTTGGGTTACGAGTCCAACTCTCTAACCATTAGGCCACGACTTCCCCATAGTCATATAACAACATATTTGTCATGTTGTTATTGCCATGTTGTTATTGTCATGTGACCTACACTATAAAAATGATCGTGATTGAACGGTAAAAGACTATAAAAATGCTACAGTAAAAACCTATTAATTGGTTAACGGTAAGTTTCCCTACTATATACGGTGAAAAACTGTATTGGACATTTCATTAAAATACAATTCTTGGAAGTGAAAAGGAATGTATAATTTACAGTGAAAACCCGTAAATTGACATTTCCAGAATTGCCTGTGTTACATTTGATGTTTTTTCATTGAAATAACTGTTTCTTTGTAATTTTTTCCTTCTCATTAGGGTGGTATGTTACATCTAATGTTGTTAAATTAATGTTTATTTGCATTACATTAGTGTTGTGTGTTACCATGATGGTGTTTAGTATTTGTGTGAATGACACAGTGCACCTTCTATATACATTCTTCTTCTCAGCTTGTGGAAAAGCTGCTTGTGATGAGCTTTGATTCATCATGTGACTTTCTCACCACCTGCTTTTGGTGGTTATCAGAGTATTACAAAGGTACTAAACAGATTTCAGAACTTCAATAGATTGGCATATTAACATGATATAAGTTCATGAAATACGTTTTTTAAATGTAAATTTAAATGAAATCCATAAAACAAAAAATGTTGCTACAGTATTTTTTACGGTAAAATTCTGGCAACCAGTTTTTTACCATAAATTTGTTTTTTTTACAGTGTACCACAGTGTGTCGCTTCACTGCCATTCACAAATCCTCTCCCATGACCTCATGGGATAGTAAAGTATCCACAGGATCCACCTACTGTTTTATGAATACTTTGAATTCGGACAAACTATTTTTTTTTACATACTGTTACTGTCACCTACTATATAGTTGGGAAATATGCATTTTCAGATGAAGCCAAAGTGTCATGTTCCAGTCACTCCCACTCCTAGACTAATTATCATCCACACCTGACACTCATCAGAAGGAGGACAAAAAAGGAGAGCTCCTGTCTTGTCCTGGCCTGATAATCCCTCAGTGATCCCAAGTCTGGTGATCCGAAACCTGGTAATCCTGGTGAATCCAGTAATCCAAAGTCCCATGGCCCTGGGGGTCTCATGTTCTGTCCTGGCCACGGAGGCCCCTTGACCCAGCCTCTGAGACTGTAATTCGCTCCATCGTCTCTGACAAGGAAGCTATTCCTCACTGCATCATAGTGAACTCTATCTCTGCCAGCTCTATCATAGTAGTCTTCTGTTCTGTCGGCTAAACCATCTCTTCCATCTCATTTTGCTGGCCTCCACAAGATCCCCTGCCCAAATTTGGTGGTCTCTTGCTTTGCCGGCTCCCCTGTGATCCCTTGTTCTGCCTGCATTGCCTTTTTGTTCTCCTGCTCCGTCTGTTCCACTGTGGGGGTCCTCTTCTTCGATTCCAACTCCACAATGGTGTTTCCATCACTCCCTAGTCCCTACCAGTACTACCTGCTTCCGACAACACCAACTTGGACAGTGATATTTGTGGTGTTGCTTGTAGGCATCAGGAGCCACCTTCAGAAGACTAGAGGTACTATCACGTTCCAGTCATTCCCACTACGGGACTAATTATCATGCACACATGACACCCATCAGAAAGAGGAGGAGAAGAGCTCCTGCCTCCCCACCATTGCAGACTTCTGTTCCGTCAGCTTCACCATGAATGGTTTCCATCTACTCCATCTCGTTTTGCCGGCCTCCACAAGATCCCCTGCTCAAATTTGGTAGATCTTGCTCTGCTGGCTCCCCTGTGGTCCCTTGTTCTGTCTGCGTTGCCTTGTTGGTCTCCTGTTCCGGCTGCTCCACCGTAGGGTTTCCCTTCTGTGATTCCAAATCCACAATGGTGCCTCCATCACTCCCTAGTCCCTACCACCACTACCGTCTACTGACAACACAAACTTGGACAGTGATATTTGTGGTGTTGCTTGTAGGTGTCAGGAGTCACCTTCAGAAGCCTGGGGATACTGTCACATTCCAGTCACTCCCACTCCTGGACTAATTCTCATCCACACATGACACCCATCAGGAGGAGGAGAAGGAGAGCTCCTGCCTTGTCCTGGTCTGTTAATGCCCCAGTGTTCTCTGTGGTCCCAAGTCTGGTGGTCTCATGTTTAATGCGCCATGTGGTCCCAAGTCCGGTGGTCCCAAACCTGGTGATCCTAAGTCTGGAGGTCCCAAGTTTCACAATCCTGTACCAGCCATGTTGAACACTCCCCGTGTCCCAGCCTCAAAGGCTGCTTCCCTGCTCCCTCGTCTCGGCCACAGAAGTTGTTCCTCACTACCTTGCCTTGGCCACGGAGACTGTTCCTTGCTCCATAATCTCTGCCAAGGAAGCCGTTCTTCACTCCATCATGGTGGTCTCCATCTCTGCCAGCTCTGCCATTGTAGTCTTCTGTTCCGTTGACTCCACCATGGTAGCTTCAATCTCTTACATCTCGATTTGCTGGCCTCCACAGGATCCCCTGCTTAACTTTGTTGGTCTCATGCTCCGTCTGCTCCACCATGGTGGTGCACTTCTTCCATTCCAACTCCACAATGGTGCCTCCATCACTCCCTTTCACCACTACCTGCTACTGACACACAAACTTGAACAGTGATAATTGTGGTGTTGCTTGTGGACATCAGGAGAACCTTTGGGAGAGTTGAAGTACTGTCATGAGTTATCATCCAAACCTGACACCCATCGCCTCACTTATCAAGGACTGCACTAAAGACTTTCTAAAGACGTTAGAAATACCAAGACAGTGCACTCACATTACTATGAATGGGTGAAATAGCCATGTGCAATATAACAGAAAAAGTCCCACCTTCTTAATAAAAGAGCCCATTGCTCTTTATGTCACTGCAGCTGCCTTTAGAAGCTCAGGTTGCCATAGAAACAGTCAGTGACCTAAAGTGTGCACTTAGGGCTGCACATGTGCATTGACTGGTTCAGCCTGAAATATATGCTTTTTAATGCTATTTGAGGATACGAAACAACATTTATGGAGCAGTTCATGTCAGATTTTGTTGCTGATATGAAATGTTATTTAATTGTGAGAGTGGTAAGCTGTTTTTGAGATTTCACGATTTCCCCATTCAAGTAGATAGGAATTGGTCTTGTATAAGACAAGGGGAGTTCCTCCTCAGTAACCTGACTAACTCGCAAAAACATTACAGTCACCCCCAAGTTAAGTAATCTTTGAGTTTTTGAGCTGTCACTTACCTGTTTATCGTGTTCTACAAATAGACTTCGAGCATTTGGGTTAATTTTCAACTACATTCCTTCTTGTTACCTGACAGAAAGGACCTTCCTCAAACTGCTGCAAAAAATTAAAGCACACAATTCTGAAGAATTATATTATATAGTGCACAGGTCTTCAACCCTGTTCCTGGGGACCCACTCTCCTGCAAAGTTTATTTCGAACCTGCTTCAGCACACCTGGCCTGTGCCTTTTCAAGTGATCTTGAAGACCTTGATTAGCTGATTCAGGTGTGTTTGATTAGGGTTGGAGTTGAACTCTGCAGGACAGTGGGTCCCCAGGAGCAGGGTTGAAGTCCTATGATATAGTGTAACAATAGGATTTTTCCTTTGAGAAATTACCGTAATAGCCAAACCTGTTAAATAAAAAGGGGTGTCAACACACTTTTGGGCATATAGTCTATCAAGGACAAGGCATTAAACACAAACACTATTATAATAATTACTTTTCTGTATTGACTTCAATATCAATGTCTTAGCACAGGTTAGACATGGTTATTATGTTTAGGCTCTGACCTCCATGAACACAGAAATCGCAGCAATATTTGTCCAGAGTCTCAAGCGTGGTAACATATGGAGCTCCTTCCACGATTTCATCCACCCACTTTATTGCTCGCACCATCTTATATCTCTCAGCTTGTGTAAAGACTGGAGGACCTTTGTGCTTAGAGATCTCCTCTGCATGAAAAGAAAGACATTAGAATCAGTCAACTTCATTTCCATCTTCTGTTATTTGTTTCACTATGAAATTTTTGGCCAAACTGTCCAAAAAGTGTTTCTAATTTTAACAGCTAGACAGCATGGTTTCCTGGTTCAACATAAAAAATAAAAAATGAAAATAAAACATTTTCGACATTTTCGATTAAGCACATTTAGAAGTATCATGCAGTCTTTAGTCTAAAAATATATGTCTCTACAATCTTCATCTACAGTAGTGGTTTTCAACTTGCCATTATCTTGTCCAGGCTGTGAATTCAGTTTCGGACTGCTGTCTTGTTGATGACCTTCTGATTTCCTTGTTGGTACTGTCTGCCCCTCAATTGAATTCCTTGTTGGTGCTGTCTGCCCCTCGTTTGATCTCTCTCTCTCTGTCTGACCTTGATTCTCAGCTCAAGTTTGGATTTGGTTGGTTATGGACAGATTTGGAGTACACACGTCAGATCCGATAGCTCTGATAGCTCAGAGCCAGGCAGCGCTCAGTCATGTAGTGCGGTTGACTCAAGGACTTAAGGACCTTTCCCAATCCCATTCCCCTCTCTCCACTACTTCACGTCCAGTCTGTCTGTACTGTCCTATTAGATACTTTTGTGTGAGAAAAGACTTTGAGTCCTCATCACAACCCGTCTAAATCCTAATATGAAAATTTTAAATCCTATTTCAATTATGCCTTTATTCCACGTCTTAGCTCTCATCTGTGCAAGCAAAACAAACTTTTCAAAGATGTCAGTTATTGATTAAAAAGTCAGTTGTTCTGTCATTATCAATGGGAAATCCATGCAACTCCCACATTCTTGGTACACAATTTTTCAGCACAAAAGTAAACATGTAAATAATCATACGTAAAGTTTAATTCCACTACTGTTATATGTCTGTGTGTTTTGAGTTTCTGTTGTGACCTAGGCCCCGTCCACACGGAGATGCGTTTAGCTGTATAAGCATAAATTTTGTATCGTATAGGCGTTTCGTCCACACGGATCCGGCGTTTTGGGAGAGTGAAACCGATATTTTTTGAAACCGTGTCCCAGAGTGGATAAATTTGAAAACGCTGTCCTTGCATTTTCGTGTGGACAGCGAATCCATATATTTTCTGAAACGATGACGTCATCAGCCCACGTCTCGCCCCTAGTCAGACACCCCTACGTCATGTAACAGCAACAAAAACATGAACAAACACTGAACAATTGTCTTTTTATTAACTAACATTAACACAGATTAATAAATGTATTGTTCCATGTTCGTTTGTATACCGCGCGCAAGGTTTATGCGCATAGTCCAAGTCTTCTTCTCCGTTTTTAGTGTATCTCTGTGGCAGAATTACAGCGCCAAATACTGGTCTGGCATGTGTACTACATCGTTTTGTGTCGGTTTTGTGGTTTCGTGTGGATGCAGATATTTTTTGAGACGAAGAGAAAAAAAAGATCGGATAGGGAAAGCTCTGGCTTCGTGTGGACGTAGCCCTAGTTGTTGCCTGTCTTGTTGAGTTAATTGTTCCCACCTGGTGTGTCATTAATTCTCCCATTAGGCCCTGGGTTCTTAAGTCCTGATTTCTCCCCATTTCAGTTGCCAGTTATTGTCTATGTTACACGTTTGCATGGATTATTCCTGAGTTTTTCCTGTCTGTTTCCGAGTGGATTTATATTGTTCTTTTGGATTCCCCACTCTCCGTGAGTTTAATCTACCAGAGACTGTAACAGAATAACTGGCTGAAACTGTATGAGCGGCATTTTTCTCTTTTGTTTTGTTTAATTTTTACTATGGACCTTCTTCCCGTAAAACTTATCTTCCTGGAGCAGGGAGATCGCCCACTGGAAGCTCACACCCTGGACTTTATTCGCTGAGGGAGTGTTAGTGGAACTCAGGGACGTGGAGGATTGCCCCTCCCACACTCCCACCACTATGAGTGAGTACGAACTGGCCTCTGGTCGATATTATGAGGAACTTAAGGACATTTTTGTAATGGACCTGATTGACTTTTTTGGAGAGGTGAACTCTAAGCCCCCTGTATCTCCAGTGACTTCTGTATCTCCTGTGCTCCCTGTATCTCCAGTATCCCCAGAATTCC